GTATACTTAATTAGGCACTCAAAAGGTGCAGATATGGCTAGAATGTATCTTCGTCAGAATGTACTTGTCTGGGGCCCTTTGATAAGAGCACCACATGATCATAATATCTAATAAAAGTGATAAGCCAAAGAGGCTAACCTTGACTATAAAAAATAATAATCTGCAGCAATAATATAGAATTTTTTCTATTAATGTATATATAGTATGTACCTGCCAGATAATTTGTATTACACCTTTTTCCTCGCTCACTCATTTTTATTTTGGGCTCTCATTGGTAATTATTTTAATTTTTGGGCCTTTATATGTAAATTGCTTCAAATATTAATATAGGTGTTATATAATACCAAAGTTATAAATGTAATTTTTCTTATAACAATTTTAATAACATTAAAAGTATTCTTAAATGCATTTTAAACAACCAAGGGATACTAATTATTTTACTTTATATAGATCACATCATGTATAAATGATGTGTACAGTATACTATGTAAATCAAAACTAGATATAATCATATGAATTAAATTATAACAAAATAAATATTTTAGTTTTTGTAAACTATATGCTTTATTTTGATATATAAATTTTAAGGAATTTCTATTTATACTCAGTAAATATGATTTCCAGTATAAGAAAAAAATCAAAATAGTTAATATCTTAATTTAAAAACTATATACAAGTGACTCTTAATATAAGAAACCTTCGATATAAAAAAGACTAATTAAACTTTTGAAATAAGACAGTTTAAGTCAACAACCAGTCTTTAATAAATATAAGTTATTAATAAACTCTCGATATAGGAAAGATTTGTAAAATTTTTACTATAGACCCGACTATCTTTCTTATATTGAGATTCACTTGTATAGATATTATAAATAAAATGTTTATAACTAGAATTATACTTCTAAAATTAGATTTCATATATGCAATTCTAGTCAGGTGCTATAGATATCTAAAGCTGCAACTTCAGATAGAGGTAACTTCAAATGCGACAAATACACCTTTAATTTATTTTATTCTAACTACCCTAATCTAATATATAATCTACAATTTTTTATACCAGATACCACACCCTATGGGTAATGATTGTAAATTTTAAATTTTATATATAATATAAAACTTTTTTTATCTATAAGTCTTGTTATAACAATAATCTTGTAATTACTAGTTTGGTACATTTATTTGCTGATTTTGTGCACCAATTTGCTGATCTGGTATATTAATTTGTTGAGTTAACACACCTAATTGCTGATTTGTTGTGCCTATTTGTTGATTTTGTATATTCATTTGCTGAATTAATGCACCAAGTTGCAAACTTATTTGCTGTTGAAATTGATTCATTTGTTGTTTAAGTTCATCAATTTGATTGTTCTTTTGATCTTCATTAATATTATCATTAAGTGCTACTAAATTTCTTAAATCTTCGCTAATGACTGGACTATTATAATTAAATATGGTTTTATTATTCTCAATTGCATTAAATAGGTTACGAATTTCAGTAACAGGCATATCATAATAACTAAAAATAAATAAATATAGTTAGAAAATATAAAGAATCAAAAAGTTTCAATTTTAATATTAAATATTTACATCCAATCTGGAAACCATTCTTTCTTATGTTTCAAACTTGGAAACATGTAAAGTAATTCAATTTCCATAATAATCTTTTTAAAATTAAATATTATTTTAGTCAATGAAATAAAAATTAAATATAAATTACGATATTACTGGTCAAAAATATGAAAATCGGCTATGTTAATATAGCCAAAAAATCATCCTTAAATTGATATCTAAATTAAAAATCAGATGCTGATTAAATTTTAAAACTCAGTTTAAAATTAAACGTTGAATTTGAGATTCACTTAAAATCAGCATCCGATTTTTAATTTAGATATCATTTTAAATTTAATTTTAGGATTTTTTTTGGCCAAATTCGGTATTTATTTTGATTTTCATTTTTTGACTAGTGTAGAATCTAATAAAAAAAAAGGTACCTGTGCTTTTTGAAGTAAATATTCTTCTTCTTTATTATAATTGCCAATTGCTATATTTAATAATCCAATAAATAAATTCAAAAGATATATTACTGTAAAGAATGTAAAAGTAACTAATAAAAGTGACATTAAGGGATTTTCTTGAAAGGTCCATGATGACAAAGATCCAGAATCACCTATAATTTTTATATTAAAGAATAAAGAAATTATTATTTTTTTTAGGAAAACTAGGTTTTATAAATGAAAAATAAAATTATTTACCAGTGATCATTTTATATACAGCGAACAGTGAAGTAGGGAACCAATCAAATAGATTTGTATTTGAATTAGGAGGTTGAACTAATGTAGTAGTATTATTTATAATTTCATTTGAATTAGCAAAATAATATCTTGATGCAAGATTCCATGGATTATTAGCATCATTATCATTATTGTTGGTTGATCTTAAAATAAAATGAAATGCTTGTGCATATCCAAGTATTATAAATAATAAGATCACCAAGAACGGAGAAACTGTTTTGGCAACACCCAATATTATTGCAAAATAAATTCCATATGATTTAAATATTCTAAAAAATAATAAAAATTTAAAACTTAATAATATAATAGATAATGTAACAAGCCACGGGGGTAGGCTTTTATTAACGAGCCAACAAATAGACGTTGCAATTGGTAAAGAATATGCGCTGGCATCTATAAATAATTAAATCAAGTTAAAAAATTATTTAAATATAAAAGCAATTGTTGCAAAATATATGAAGTTGAAGTGACTACCATATTCTAATTGCAAGATTTGCAGAACTCAAAATAAAAAAAATTACAAAGAACGTTGATTCAACAGAATCGATACTTACCAAAAAAATTCCATGGATCATTAAAATAATACTTTCGCATCCAGATATATTGTAGAATTTCAGCAATAAAAAATTTGATACCAAATATTATTGTAATTATAAAAAGTGATTGGCGCTGAATATCAGTGATAGAATTTGATTCTAACATAGAAGCTGAAGAATAACAAATATAAAAAACTGTGTACAAAAACCAAATCAAGTAATAATAAATCCATCCAAACGTTCTCCATTTAAAATCTATAATTGCAACAAAATTCCACCAATTGTAAAAATGGTTCTATCAATATTACAAAAGAGAATAGATTTTGGTTCATATAAAAATTTATTCCAAATATTAATTGGATGATCAATATAATTATTATTAGTCGTCTGATCTATTTTTTTGCTATCATCCTTGTGACTATCTTTTTTATTATTATTTTCAGTCTCGTCTCTATATACGCATATTTTAGGAAATGGAACAATAAAACTGATTGTTGGGATTTCTTCCTGATTCTTTAAATTTTGAGTTAAACTTTTGAATGATGATGATATTGACTTAAAGTAATCATTAATTGAATTTGATTTTTTAATACAAATATCTTTGTATGAATAAAGCGAAGTATTTGTTGAATTAACAAAGGAATCACAATAAGGTGATAATATAATTGATGTGTATGAGATATATTTGATTATGAAATCAGGATAATGCTTACATAATTCTAAAAAATTTAAACTAATAAAAGGCAACAATGTCATCATGTAACTACAATTAGTTTGTAAAGGGTTCAACAATCCCATATAAGCATTATTTTTTGAATCAATCTGAGTTGATTTAATAATTTCATCAATAACGTGTTGAACAATATCATCATAATTTTTGTTAATCGCTACTTTTAAAATTTCTAACCCAAAATTTGAAAACTTATCTGCATCCTTTATAATATATGGGACTATATGTTTCATTCGTTGATAATCAGCTTTCTCTGACATTTCTGATATAAATTTTGACAATGCTTTCGTATCATTTATAATATCATTAACTAATAGATTGTTACCAAGCTCATTAAAATCTATTGAAATAAATCTCGTTAATGGTATTGAGGAATTTGAATCATTAAATTCATTATCTAAAATCCTGTTAAATAGTTGTATATAATGTTGAGTAATAAAATCTTTATTGAAAACAAGATTTTTTTCTCTGAGTTTTCTATAAGTATCTTCCCAATCAGCATTATTCCATTGGTATCGACGACTAATTCCATTAATTGAATTTTTATCTCTTATCCAAATTTCAATTTTTTCTACATTAATTAATACCAAATCCTGTTGGTTATTTATTAGTTTATAGGAAAGTGTATAAGGATTAACAAAAGGTACGATTTGATTATGTACAATAGATTGATTCGATTGATTATTGTTTATCTCAAACTTTATTTTATCTAAACTATCATTTTTTTCAAAAATAACATTTCCATTTTCAAATTCTATATTATCTGGCGCAACCCTATCAATCTTCTCTTTTTTAACAATTTCTTTGAGAATATTCTGTATTTCTTTAAAAGTAGACGAATCATAAATACTATCGCGATAAGTAATCTTGTTTACTATTTGTTGATATTTATTTTCATCCAGTCCCTTAGTGATACAGACATATTTATCGTTATTAATGAAAAATTTTCTGTTTAATTTAGTTATCACATTACTGTTATCATAATTAGTGATACTGTTATTTTTTTCAAAATTTTCAAGAGGCTGATAAGGATTAATAAGTACATATTTAGCAACCGTACCATAGTGTTTACTATGAACAATTAGTCCTTCAGAATCATTTTCGAAAGTTATAAATTCTATTGGAGTACTGCCAGTACTAACTAGACCTATGAATAAATTATAAGTAAAAAAAAATATATATATATATATATATATATATATAATTTTATAAAAATCAATAAAAATATACGTAAAAAAAATTTAATACAAACCACCTAAAGAATATTTTGAAATCAATCTTCCATTTTCCATTGAAAATATGTAAGTACTATATAAAATTTCTACCGCTAATAATGTATTATTTTTATTCATTATTACTGTTGCAAATTCGCAACAAAAACCTGAACTATATTGACTATTCCAATCTACAGGTGAATTATATCGTCTATCAAAATTCATTTTCAATAGGTCAAATTGGAGTATTGATGTTTTACGATTTTGAATAAATAAAAATAACTTTTCTTGATATATAGAACTATATATATATTTAGATTGATCGTATATACTTTTCGGAACCTCTATATCATAAAATTCTGAATATTTCAAAGTCGCTAGATCTTTTGGAATACCTTTTGTTAAACTATACTTGTAAATTTTGAGGTTACATAGTGATACAAGAATTAAATCACCATCAGAAAGGAACCCTATAGTATATCGTCCATGAATATCATTAGAATAGGAGTGTTCTAATTCAATAAATTGTGGTTT